CTTGCTTTCTGCCCCCCCTGTTCACAACTAGGTTGTGATCGAACCCCACATACTTCTTTTTCCTGGAGCTTGACTCTCCAGCTTGCCTTGACGACTGTCCCTCTTCCATTTTGTTAATTGCATTGCCGTCATTTTCATTCCCAAACTTCATTTTTTTCTTGTTGCCTTCCGTCTTCTTGCCTGACCCTGTTCATACATAACAGTCACGGTACCCCTCATACACACGCATTCCCTTCCACTCCCGTTTGCGGCTCTGGAGGCTTCCCTAGAACTCTTGCTTGCCCCCATATAGTTGGTAGCCCCATTATCCCTTAGACCCCTTGACACATTGTCCCAACACATAGGTGCCCCATGTAGGCAGTCCACAACATCACCCCACAAAAATTATGGTACATTGTCCCAACACATAAATACCTTGTGTAGACCGTCCCCAGCGTTACCCCACAAAAAACTATAGTACACTGTCCCGTGCTCCCAGGCTCAGTCACAGTCAGCTCAGGCAGTCTCTCCACATTCCAAAAGTCAAGACACACAAACGAACAATCCCTGTGGTCATGATCACATCCACAGGGAGGCGGTCCAGAACTTATAGCCAGCTGTCTGGCTTTCAGGCTGTCAATTCCTCAGTTTCCTTGTCCTGGGCCTCTTGTAGCCACTGTTCCACCGGATCCCTGCTAAAAAATATGACCAGTCTTTGTCCCGGAAATGACCCTCTTATGCTAGTAGCATCGAGATCCTCAAGTTTGAATGTGTTCAGTCCCACCCGCTTAGCGATCCTGTAAGACCCTTTGAATCTTTTTCCCAGCTGCCCAGACCATGTGCTTTCAAGAGCCGAGTTCCTAACTGGCACCTTGTCCCCCACCTGGAGTGGCTCCTTCCGAATGTTCTTAACCTGGTCCCATCTTGCTTTATCCCTCATTCGGCTGTCCGTCACACGATTGACTACTTCCTCGAGTGCCTCCTCATTCCTGGCGACCTGCTGACAACGTGAGGTGATTAACTCTTTCGTGCTCAAGTGTGGGTCGCTATCTAGCCTGTTCCATGTAGGGACCAAAGCTTCTATCGGAAAATCGATCTCCCTTCCATACTAGAGTTCTGCTGGAATACATCATGTTGTTCTTTTTAGAGTCATGTTCTCGGCGAAGACTGCCTGTTTGAGAAACCGTGACCAACTTCCCAAATTATTTGCTGCCAACTTTGCGATTGTGTTCTTCAAAGTCCGGTGACCCCTTTCTACTGGTGCATTTGCCTCAGGATGATAGGGCTCGGTGATCTTGATCGGTACACACAGTGTCTTAAGCCTGTTCAACACTTCCTGGTTAACGAATTTTGTCCCATTGTCTACTATAAACCTGCGCACGAAGGGGTGTCTTAGGTAGAAATCTTCCACCCAATCGGCCACTGCTTTCCCCGTCTTCTTTTTGAGGGCTACGGCTTCTACATAGCCACTGAGGTTATCCCTTACATCCAAGATGTACCTAAACACATCCGTCGATACGGGCATAACCGCAAGATCGAGGTGAACAAGGTGTCCGGGTCCCAGTACCCTAGTGGGTCTAAGGGGCTCGTAGACTCGTACGGAGTTCCTCTTTTGACATATCAGACACGTCTGACAATACGTTGCGACCATGCCTGCCATTCCTGGCCAGAAGTACAGGGGCACGATCTTTGCAAGTGTCCCCTTGGACGACCAGTGACCTCCAGCAAGCCCGTCATGCATTGTCTGGATTACGTCCAGCTGCCTAGACCTCCCACAAACGACACGCCAAGGTATTATCCCTTCCTCTTTCTAGAACAGGTGGCCATTTCTTAGGACATACTTTTCGACTTCCTCCCTTGCCTTGGGACTGACTTCCGTGGGTTGTTTGTTCCCTACAAGTAGCAGACCGATTTCTTTGAAGACGCCCTCGTACATCTGTATGAGGAAGAACTCCTGTTCCTTCTGATCCGTACCCTGCTCCTCCCGAGTGAGGTTGACTAGATACTGACACTCCTTCTACGCCCAGGCTTCGGCCAACATCATCACCGCGTCCCGTCCCCCTTCCACTGTCATTGCCATCAGTTCCTCTCTGGCCCCTACTTCTGCTCCCCACGAGTCATTTTCCTCTTTGCGCCTGACCGTGGTGACTGGTCCTTCCCTGAATTCTACAACCACCGCAGGTATGCCCTTTTCCAAGGTCTGAATCAGCAAATGACCTGTTGCAATTGCTGGATCTGCCATCTCATTATTCACAACAAGAGTCCCTCCTTCGTACTCCAGGAAGGCGTCAATTGGTTCCACGTCCTCTACTCCTTCTAGCGTGATGCATACCCTGCTCAGCCCATCTGCCCCATTTCGAAGCCCTGCAATTCGCTCGACCTTACAGTCGAATTGCCATATGAAGCCTATCCATCTGCCAACGGTCGGATCTATAGGATTGTCGTTCTTTAGGGCTCTGGCCACATTGGTGGGATCGATCCTTAGGATAAATCGCCTTCTGAACAGGTATGCCTCGAAGGTCTTAAGACAATGTAAGATTGCTAAGACCTCACTCTTAAACTGCGAATACCGTCGTTCTACTGAATTTATGGTCCTACTTTCAAATTTAATTGGTCTTTCTTTGCCCTCCTCGCTTCTCTGTATCAACACTCCTCCAACTGCTAGCGGTCCCCCGTCTGTTTCTAAGATGAAGGGCCGTCCTACCTCGTCATTGAAACAGGGTGCTGCTAGAGTGACCTGATCAGAATACAGGATGTCTTTCGGGGTCTAGGCTGCCGCTTCCTTATCCTCAGTCCAATCCATAGTGTCGCCTTCCCTAATCATTGCGCGGATAGGCTCTGCTATCTTTGTGAATCCTTTGATGAAGATCCTCCAGAACCCGACCACCCCTAGGAAGGCTAGTACTTCCGTCGTGATGCGAAGGGGTGTCGACCACGGTGAGATCTTATCCATCTTTGCTGGGTCGGGTCTCCTCCCATATGCTCCACAATGAAATCCCAGTATGGTTACTTCCGGGACGACCAAGATGCTCTTGGGACCGCTTGCAGTAATATTGTAAACAAGGAAGCGCTGGAGTAGGTCCTTAATATCCTGCAGGTGGTCCCAAACAAACTTTCGTACGCCCGGCTCGACCTCCGTCTCGTTTTTGTACCTTGCGCCTTTTACAGGATTATCATCTATATACGGTTCACACTTTTCTGGGAACATATCCCCTGCGACGGCGAGCATCCTTCTCTGCGCCTCTGCTACTGCATTTGTAAAGCCCATAGGGGTCACTTGCATCTGCAGCTGCCCTACGAGGGTGTGCATTGCGGTGTACGGTCTATCCCTCGTATCGAGCGACAACTGATCATATCCTGAATACAAGTCTACCAGGGAGTAAATACTCCGCCCGCATGAGATTCTGCCAACAAGTCGGCCTGTGGAAGCGAGCCTGCGTCCCTAATTGTTACCGCATTGAGCTTCTGCAGGTCCTGGATCCACCTGAGCGTCTTATTGGGCTTCGTGAACACGAACCACTTGTTCGCGTAGGGGGATGAGGTGGTTTCAGCCACGAAAGAATCTATCTTAGCTCTAAGCAGGTTGGTGACCTCGACTGCTATCCCAAACTCATAGGCGGACCCTTTATCATTCCAACACTCGTGCTGTACGGTGTGGATGCTGACAGGGGGAACTAGCTTTGCGTCCAATCGCCCATTCTGATGATCATTGAAAGCTAAAGCTAAATGAAACTCCTTGCATGCCTTTCTTATCAACTGAGTTTCTTCCGCTATTAGAAAGCCTTCCACTCCTATTTTCATGGTATCTGCTACCTCATCCGGTATGCGATGCCCTTCCGTTGCGCGTCTCTCCCTTATAACGTGCAGGATCTCCTCCTCGTTCTCCATGACTTCTTCCTTTGATGTTTCTACTAGGATCGAGACCGGATTGGCCTTCTTTCCTACGGGTTTATATTTTCGCACACTGCCTTCTCGGATCGTTCTCCTAAACGATGAACGGTTGGGATTGGCCTTGCTATTTCCATGATACGGGGTTGAATGCTAACTATCTTCTCATTCAGGCAGTAGCCTTTTCGAACCTCATCCTCAAACTTGGCAAACGATGTTGGGTCCACCCCCACTTTGTGGTACCTGATTGCCTTAACAAGTTGCAACAGGTCTGGAATTTCGAGCGCTAACTCGAGGGTCTCGTTACGACCTTCTTTTGCCTTGGGCAGGCTGCCCCCAAGTTCAACTTCCTTCTCCTTTTCCGCCACCATAACCCCTTGGGACTCGTCTTCAGACCTTATCTTCTTTACGCGCAGACCCATCTTGATCCATTCGCACCCTCCAAAGCATGACGTTCATACTCGCTACCCCCGGTCCCCAATACTTTGCGAGACTTCCAGTGTTGAGTCTCCTCTTCCCGCTGTATAGCATGCGCTCCCGGAGAGCGCTCCTCTTCCGCAGGAGCCGCTGCACTCTTGCTGTCAACGGCGACTGGCACACCCTTCGAAGCATGACAATCGTACTCGCCACCCGCGGTTTCCAACACTCCTGCAATGGCCCCTCCAGCACGTCGCCAGACCGCCAGTCTCGAGTCTCAACATACGAGAACGGAGGTGAGCAGGGGAACCATGTGGCCAACTGGAGATGTCGTTTCTTAGCCCTGCGAAACTGTAGCGTGAAGAGCACTTATGGTGGAAGGCCTGCAGGGCGATGTTAGCAACTCCGAATCTATTCGGAGTTGTGGCGCTCGCCCAAGCTGATGGAACTGACGGTCGCACCTTCGCTCCTTCGCAATGCAGGCATCCCGCCCTCCAGGCAAAACGAAGACGCAGTTCCCATCAAGGAATGGTTTCGCCGCTCACGAGATGCGGCCGGATGCTGCAGATATTCGCCCTCTTCCAAGAGCAAGGTGTTGTGCACAGGAGACCTCTGCTGCGCATGGCGGGATGGACTCTCCTCGACATCAGGAAACAAAGTCCTCGCAGACAAGTGCGAATCTACTCCCACTTGATCAGACCTTAGGGTGGCCACGTTTCGCATGTCGGAATCTCGACTCCCTACGCAGTGGGTGTTAGTTTCCCTATGCTGGGGACTCCCGGACGTTCTACGCTTTTCGCCCAACCCCTTCCCGCCCGACCCCTTCCCGCCCGATCCCTTTCCGCTCAACCCCTTTCCGCTCGTCCCCTTTCCGCTCGACCCCTTTCCGACTGACCCCTTTCCGTCGGACGCCTTTTCTCCCGACGATGTTTCACCCGTCCCCTTTCCGGCAAATCGTGAGCCGTTTCCTCCGTCACCTCCGCCGTCTCCTTCGTCTCCTCCTCCACCGCTTCCCGGATGCTGACCGCCCGACGGAGGTTGCGGCATGCGCCAGTCAATGCCACGAGACGGTGCCGTCTCCAGTGCGTAGAAAGGCGCATGAAACTTCAACATCTTTCTGGCGTACAACTCATCTAGCTTTTCGACTACATATGCATCGACGTCCGGCAGGCTCCTGTCGGGGTTCATAACCCTCAAATGCTCCACCAGAGCACCTCTTGCCTTTTTCTTAAATGGATCCGCTCCCAGTCTGTTCATTCCACTCCACTTGCCATCGACTTCCTTCATTGCCATGACCCACCTTCCATTCTTCACAGTAGGTTGGAATATCCTCGGGTGCCAGACGACGTTGTGTCCCCAGACATCCTCCGGCGTGAACCGGTGATGCTTGTCGAAGAAGAAGAGTCTGTCATTCTCCCAGGTATCATGGTCCACAGGGAGCTTGTCACAAGGTTCGTAATCATAGTCTCTCTCTTCCTCCTCGTCATCAGACGATTGGTCGTCGACTGGTTCGCGCCGAAACACATGCTTCAAACCGGCAGGGGACGTGTTATATCTCCGAGGACCACCTTCCCCTTCATCACCAACCTGTCCAAACACCCGAGGAAGTTGCATGGACTCGAAATCGAAGGTTTCGGAGTCGCTCAACTCCTCCATGTCTTCAGCGTCGAAAGGGTCCTCCTCGTCAAATTGTGCCTTGTAGTTTTCGAGGGAGCGTGGTTCGGCCATCAAGAAGTAAACGTGCTCCAGCCTTCTCAGGAAATGCGAGACAGACTCCCTGGGTGCATCGTGGTACCCATTCAGCACACCGAACACCAGGTTTCTCCGTCGACTGTATTCGAGGTCGGTCTGAGCAGGCGGTCCAGGTTGGAAAAGAAAGTCCCAAACCTCCATCCTTTTGTTCCCCGACAATTTCCAATACATGTCACGTTTGGGATCCCAGTTTCGTTCGCCGGTGGTCTGGACAAAAGTGCAATCATTGCAAGTGTCTGCCACGTGTGTCTTCACGAACTCGTTAAGGTAATCGATCATGTTCGCCTTATCCTCCAACGCGACGACGTTCTGACCGTTGCGCATGAGCTCCCACATGAAAGACGCATGCGCCTTCCCAAAGAAAAAGACAGTTTGCCCAGCCTTGCAAAAGTTTTCGAGTAGACCAAGTAGATGGGACAGGTTCCGCTCCCTGTCCCGTTAAGCAAGTCCATGAGCACTTGTCACGCCGCCGTCCTCCCACAGGCTGCGAGGGAACCTGTCCTCGTCCGCCACGTCGAAACACGCCACAGCCTGTCCTGATGGGTCCGACGAACAGACAACTTTCGAGCAGGCCGCCACCACGTGTTTGGCCAGACTTGGACCATGAGCACGGGAAGCCTTTGTCGGGCTATTGGCCGGGTAGACTACGACTATGTTGTCTGCCAAGTTCTCGCCGTTGAAAATCATGTACAAACGGTCACACTCCTCAACCAGCATATTGCCTTCCCGGACAGTGGTCTGCTTTTGTGCATGGCGCACCCACTTCGCTGTCCTGACGTGATGGACGCTAAGCCTGGCCATGCCTCTCAAGAAACTGAGCTCCCAACGAGCGGGGAAAAAGACCACAAGTGCCCAGTGCGTTGGCGACAGTGTTTGGAGAACGCCTTGCAAGTTGGCAAAATCGTCTTCTCGCCAGTCTGCGAGGAGTGTGGGATCACACAAATCGAGGACGTACAGGTTGCACACGTAATGTCGCAAGATCTCACGGATCTCAGTGATACGACAGTGAGCTTGGGAAGGCGGGCAAGCGAAAGGAATAAGGTTGGTCAACCGCTTGAGGTTGTGCCATTTGATGTGCCTCACATCCCCGGTGACCCTGATCGTGTCTTGAACTTCTTCTTTAGTCCGTCGTAAGATGGAACGGACAGACTTGAGGAAAGATTTAGGGAACATGTCATCGTCGTACAATTTCTTCGCGTCGTCGAGGGACTCCTTCTCGTGCAGAAGAGTACGTTTGCAAGTATTCACGTACAACACCGCGCCGTGAAAATGCTTTCGCAGTTCTACCCACACCTGTTTCGTGAGGCCCTGCGGCCCGAACTCCGCCATAAGTTGCCCCTCGGTCTGGAAAAAATTACTCTTGTAATGCTAAACACCTTTGTCCTCCTCCGTTTCAAGGAACAAGATGTAGTGAAACATCCGGAGCATCACACGGTCCACTTTCCTCGTCTCCACCATGTCTTTAATTCCAGGCTTATGTTGACGTTTCAGATGTCCGCCCGCCGATTGCACGAAAACTCCCCTAAGTGCGAGAATGTCGTCGAGGATCGACAGTTTTTCGGCATCGGTCATGTCGGCGAGACACTGCCAACAGAACATGTCCGGCTCCTTCACGACCACAAAAAACTTGTCGTCTGCTTGCGTTTTCTTTTTGGTCGAAGGTGGTGGGACCCGGACCAACCACCCCATCTTTGTTTCACCAGCCGCCCCTTTCGAGCCCATTTATTTGCCCGGTGTAGGGGTCGTACCCTGAAGGACTTTCGAGCCTTGGTCGACCCCACTGCGGGTCCCACTTGGCTCGACCTGCTTACGCTCACGCTCAGGGCGCGGGTCGTTCGTCCCAGGGGCACCCCCACCTAGTGCTTTGAGATGGATGGGGATGGACCTTTTGCGATAGGGCTTTACATTGGGGGATGTAGCTCCGCTCTCGCGTCAAGATGGTAGCTCTTTGGGCACTCGTGACGTTTTCTCGATTCAGTTAAGTCTGACTAGACAATTGCTCCTTCCAATACACAAGCAGTCCAGGGAGTTCATTGAGAGTTTGTCTTCTTACCATGCGCAGGCCAAGCGTCATCCATTGGGCCACGCACCTTTTACTAAGTCTATTGGCTCAGGGCAGCCCCGTCGGCATCCTTGAGGTGCGGCGGCGTCGCCCGGACCCCTAACCGCTATATTTTTGCGAGAGTCACTAGCATCGCGTCACCTATCCAAAACCACCCTTAGTCTTTTCACGCCTCACATTGCACAAGAGAGAGACATTCCATGCAACCTCCACACGAACCAAATTCATGCATCAACCATCCACCCAAGCGTCCGGCCTCAACTCATCCCGCACCTATGGCTTAAGCCGGATCCAAGTTCTTCCCTTAGCCAATCTCCCACCCTAGTCCTCATCCGTGGGCCCAGCCCCGTCCAAATCGTCCCTAGCTACTCACCTGCGCAAGACCACACAAGACAAGTGACCAAGTACAATCCCCATCGGGGTCAACACATCGCCCCTTCCCGCAATCCTAAGTTGTCTTTGCCTTCCAATTCCCCTTATGAGTTCCCTTCTCTTTCATACAGGCAATCCATGCAATCGCCTCAGTCATGCATTCCGGGAGGATGGTTGAGTCAAACTGACCTCGTCCAAAATCAGCACTCCTTTTCGCTTTTGCAAATGCTCTCAATAGTCCCGTATCCTTTCCTTCTTGGCGGCACAAGGGACCGACAGCCCTTCCCTTGCCCCCGATTTCCACCAAGTGAGGACTAAGTTTCTTTCCGTTTGTTCCCTGGCAATGTAACAGGTGAGGGTAGAGGTTAGTCACATGCCATGGAGAGGGAAGGGGTGACGGAAGGGTTAGGGGTTAAAGAGTTTTATAGGAATGTAGGAAGACAGGGGGGGGAAGGAGAGGAAGAGAGGGAGAGAAAGAGGGAGAGAGGGAGAGAGAGAGAAAAAAAAAAGAGAGAGAGAGAGAGAGAGAGAGAGAGAGAGAGAGAGAGAGAAAGACAAGAAGTTCCTCATCCTTATCAACCTTGCTCATTGACTTACCCTAACTGATCCTATCTGAGGTCCCGTGCATCCCCCCTTGCACCCCCCCCCCCCTTAGGACTTTCGGGTGGACGGGCGGCGGCGATGGAGGAGGAAGAAGAGTTGGGGGTGGTCGGCAAAGGTGGACGGGCATGGGTGATAGAGGAAGAAGAAGGGTTAGAGGTGGTTGGCTATGGTAGACAGGCGTGGGTGATGGAGGAAGAAGAAGGGTTGGAGGTGGTTGGCTATGGTGGACGAGCGTGGGTGATGGAGGAGGAAGAAGGGTTGGGGGTGGTCGGCTATGGTGGACGGGCGTGGGTGATGGAGGAGGAAGAAGGGTTGGGGGTGGTCGG